TAATATTTTTCTCACATAAACTACTATGACAAAAAAAGTTTTCGTTGCTTCGAGCTCTTCTTCGAGTCCTAACGTTTCTATGTTCGAACTCTGTACAACGATATATTTTGGCCTTTAATCTTTATATAATGAAAATTTAAGATATTGTTTACCAAATGCTTATCAATTAAGCACTTACTTACCGGTAATTGTCACCACCCTTACTTACCTTATCAGGTATCATTCTAGGCCATCAAAATACAGTATCGGTAAGGTCTATAAATATTATTTAAACAATATACGTATATTTAAAAGTTATATAGATCAAACATCGATAATACGTATACATTTAATATGTACAGTCTACATGTATGGACATGGTGTTAGCCACTTAGGGAGCATAATTGGCTTTTTGGTAGTCTCCACCCACCATGTGAGGGTGAATGATTGGGACTTTTTTGAATTCCAAGTAGAACGTTAATTTATTAAAGGACAAGCCCATATGTACTTACGAAATTCATCGTCAAGGATAAAAAAAAACCTTAATGATATAACTAAATAAACAGAGTTAGCAAGAACAATAAAATTTGTAACTAATAGACAAGGCCGTCTTTTAGCATGTTAAATGTGAGATTTTGAACATGACCCCCAAAATTTACATGTGTATAGGGTCTTTTATCGACTTGTATAAAACTATACCGAAATTATTTGGATTCAAACCATTAATTGTTTGGTTTTAGGTTCAAATCATTAATGATTTAGGTTTAGTTTCGAATTGTTAATCGTTTTAGGTTTAACTCATTTTTGTTCTTAACATATATTATCTGTTATCTTTTTTATGCAATATAATTAAAAGTTTTAGATGCAGCAGAGCCTCCAAAAAAAATTGGAGCGTCCCTGCTAATAGAGCTTCCTAAGATGAAGTTTCAAATCTTTCTAATAACAGGGTTTAATTTTTTATGATTTATTATTTGAATCTTGTAAGGTTAAAGTAATAAAACATAAGTGTTATGAAACACGTTCACGTAAGTTTGAAAATGGTTTTTTTTTTATAGAAAGAATGATGTTTTATACCCAAATGGATCGGATATATTACAAATACAAAGAAACAAGTATATGACGAGAAATAAAACCATCCAGACATAAACAAGCAAACACTATCATCGTTCGAGAAAATACCAAGTCTACTGGACCATCATCCAACTTTCAATTAACGTTAGACCTAATTATCAGAATAAATAAAAACACACATAAATATACTCTGTTGACATGAAATTTTGAAATAATAGTCACTATTTTGAGAAACCTGACTAAATAACAGCCGAATAAAATGTTACTTATAATAAAATTTAAAAAATACTGTAAACGAGTTAATTGTAATGGGCTCTTTTTTTGTTGTAATTATGTTGATTTTTTTTAATAAATATTATTGCCTTAAAAAAATATATTATTTATTAAGATAATGTTATGAAATAAAACGAGTTAAAATACTCTACGCTTGGTTTACGTGTTGGTCCACAAAACGGTCCATTCTGGATCTCGATTATTAACATGTGAATGGCGGTTTACACGATTCACCTCTCCGTAAAATTTCAAAAAGTTGCAATTAGGTCCCTTATGTTATAACAAATCTATAAATATCTTCCTCCAATAACAAAAAAGCGCAACTTGGTCCAAAATACATGCCAATTTTGTAGGGCCGTCCCTTAACGAGGGCGGAACGAGCGCACGTCTGGGGCCCAAAATTTGTCCTTAACATACATAAGTAGTCTAAATTTTTTTAATAAATTAAAGAAACCCAAAAACTTATAGCGTATAGTAAGAGGAAAAAAGAATTTAATATAAAATAAATGTTCAAAAATATATCAACTAATTATATTGGAATTTTTTTTTGATAATTCTTTATTTGCTATTGTTTATTGTCTATATAATTTTTTTTTATCTCCATCAAGATCCAATGACATTGGCTATTGCTATCTTCACCAGTTCAACGTTAAAATCATATGTTTGTTATTGCTATATATTTTTGTTGGATATTTTTATCTATTTCTGCTTCTATTGACTATTATTATTTGGTTATGTTGTTCTAATTGTTTTTGTTGACTATTATTATATATTTTTACTTTTACAAAAAATATTTTACTATTGTTTGACAATCAATATATTGTTCTTGTGATTTATGACATGTTCTGTGGTTTTGTAATTAATCAATAAATTTTCCCTACTAGATGTGTTCAATAATGTCTCTTATATATGTCATGTTTCATAAACTTTTAATCTTTACATCTTATTTTAGTTGAGTAAACAAGAAGGAAAATAGAATTTAAATATTTTCATCAATTGTTTGACTTATGTATCTTTTATTGAGATTCTACTATACCACAAGATTCTATTTAAGTGCTCAAACAACCATTTGTTGAGCTTGCATATTATATTTTTTTATTATTTATTCTTATTGGATATCAATGAATCATATTTTATTTAATATTCTTACCGGTCTTTATTTCTCTACTTGTTTAAAAAATCTTGATAATCTTCTCTATTATTGATCTTTCATTGACCCTCACGATTACTTCATTCACACAATTTCTCTTTTTCTATCAAAATAACACATATTTATTGTTATAAACTAAAAAAATTCTTATTTTTATAAAAATTTATTAACCACAGTTTTTATACTCTTGGTTTCAAATTACCTAATAAGAAATACGTAAATTAAAGTACACTCTTATGTATCTATAATAAAAATAAATAATATTTATTTCCTCAGTAAATTATTAGCATTTCTATGTACTTAATTTTATACTAATGAAAAACATTTATTGAATTTTTTTCGTACTTATTGAGGGTCACTACAAGAAAAGTGAATTTCGACGATGCACCTTTTAGAGATGACATGTTTCTGCCACAAGTTATAGTGACGACATGTTTCCGCCACAAGTTACAACGACGACATGTTTCCGCCACAAGTTACAGCAACAACATGTTGTTATAAGATAAATGGACTTTTAGCGACGACAAAAGTCGTTGCTAAAAAACTTGTTTCTTCTAGTAGGTTGTTGAAGTGAAGCGAAAAGTAAAGGATGTTAAGAGTGGAAGGATGACGTTATAGACGGTGACAAAGATTGGTGGTGTCACGAGATCATTTGACGAGAAAACCAGAGTAAATATTGGGGTTTGTGTTAGAATAGGAGATGCCATCAAATGATTCCAACGGAGGAACGAGATAGACATGGATTTAATTTTTAATAGAAACTAAATAAAAAAGTAAAATGACAAAAATATCTTGACTTAACGGCTATTTTAAACCTTTGTTAGCCTCAAGGACCAAAGCTGAACAATTTTGCATACAACAAGGGTTTTCTTACAATAAAACTTTTATAGGAATCTAATCCGAGAAAACTAACAAACAACGGGGACCAAAAATTGCAATTTACTCTAAAAGCTATTATATTTGTTACAAGAAACACATGTATGATTATATTCTGTTAACAAGAAATATTTTGTAACAATAACAGAGAATATACTATTATTAATAAAAATCAAATCAAAAATTTTTTTTTTTTGAAATGATAACAAGTCATAAATAGTTACATGGACGGACCTAGGCTTATGGTATAGGTGGCACGTGTCACCGTATTATTTCTTCGTCGAAGAGTAAAAAAATTAGGTTTCGTGAACGGTGCAACCGTATTAATTTGTTGTATGTTACCGTATGTATTTTAAAACTACAATGAGAACAAATTTTATTTGGTAGAGTTGGTTTGCAGGGTTTTTAATTTTTATTCCACCCCACACCCAAGTTCGAATCCTGTTAGTGCCATTTTCTTAATCAAATGGTGTCACCCTTTGATTTTTTTTCCCCGTATATTTGTTTCTTATAGTCAAACGGTGCCAACGTTTGAAAAATTTCCCAATATTTTTTTCTTATGATCAAATGGTACCACCGTTTGAAAAAAATAATGGGTCCGTCCCTGAGTAGTTATTTTAGAATTTTGTTTTGTAGTTCTCTAGATGTTGTCCTCGCCACCCCCCCCCCCCCCCCCCCTTCTATCTTCAAACGTTCAAGGAAGGAAAATCAAAATGCTAATCACGACTTGAGTTTGGAGGTACAATTACTATCATTTTTTTGGGTTCCAACTTGGTTAAACGACTTCGAGTTATCCTAGTCCGAGTGGTGCTACGTTACCTTCTAATAGCTCACGAGTGTTTTGGTTGTAGTTTTAAGGTGATGGTTTTCATTTTTTTTTTGTCTTCAATTGCTGCTTTATAGCTTTCGGGTTTGTCTTTTTATTCTTTTCGACTTTTAACTGATTCTTTGGGTTGTAACCTTTTTCATTGGGCTCTAGTTTCTTAGTTTTTGGGGACCATATGTTTACTGGGGTTGTTATGAATTGAATCTATTTTTGCAAAATAGGTCTCCGTCACTTTGTACTTTTCATCTGTTGTTTCTTTAATAACTGTATATTTCCACTTATATATAAAATTTTAAGTAAATTACAAATTTAGTTTTTATGGTTCTAATTTCGAAATTACAAGATGGTTATCATAGTTTGTAAAAAAATAGAAATTTCGTTAAATGAGAGATATTTTCATCATTATATCGATTTTTTAGTTTTTTTACTTAATCAAAAACCACAGTGAAGAAGTCGTAAAATTGATTTTGATTGGGTAAAGAACAAAAAAAGAGCGAAAATACTCCTCGGCTACTAAATTTTCTAACGACCGTTATCAAATCTAGATGTTTTTGTAAATCACGATGACCATCTTGTAATTTTAATACTGCAAAAACAAAAAATATTAATTTCGACAAACCATAGGGACCAAATTTGTAGTTTTCTCTAAATTTCTTTTATCCAATCGGATTAAAGAAAGATAAAAGATTAAAAAATTGTTAAGACCTTCTCTCTCATATATGGCGTCACCCCCTTCCTCAACGATTACCCCGATCAACCATTCTCAACCGTACGATCTCATAGCCTTTGGCAACAAAACTGGTTAGGTGTGTGCGTAGATATAGCATATTAGCTCGAACCAGGAGTGTGATAGAATTCTGCGATTTCTCTCCTTTTTGCTCTTTCCATTTTCTCCTCGAACAAAACCCCCCACCCCCTTATTTTTTTTTTCACCTTTTCTTATCCTCAACGTCAATCTTATACGTTCAGGTATTGCTTTACATCCCTCTCCTCTTTATGTGCTTGATTGTCAATCTGTTTGTTTCGTAAAACCCTAGTTGGTACTCGGAATTGATGTTGAAGTTTGAATTTGATGTGGATTTGTTGAATATAGATCTATTTGATGTCTGAAATGAATTCTGTTTGATTGTATTAGTTTTGCTAATTAATTGAATATTTGTGGGCGGTTGTTTGTTTTTCGCTAATTTAGGGTTTTTCATTTATGGGTTTTTAGGGATCCAGGGTTTCGGGATAGATTTTGAGGGGTTGTGATGGAAAATGGCGTGAGTAAGGTGGAACAACTGAAGTCAAAAGTAGAGCAATTTGATGTAGATGTGTTGGGAGATGGGGTGAAGGGTGTGGGAACTGATGATGTTTTCGAGGAGGCAAGTGGTTTTGTTGATAGCGTATCGGCAACAGTGGAGGTGGAAGAAGTTCTTGTTGGTAGTGAAGATGAAAGTGGTGAGAATGGTGGGGATTTGGGTGTTTCTTTAGAGTTAGATGGGAGCGTAAATGCGGGCCAAGTAGAGAAGTTTGATGATGCATGTGGGACTCCTGAGATACAAATGGTTAACGAAAAGGTTCATGTCGATCCTTTTGAGGAACTTATAACGAAGAAGGTAATGTTATCTTAGTTATTTGTTTATTTTTGCTTGGGTAAAATTAGGTTAAATTGATTGGATTAATTGGTGACTATGTGCAGGTGATTGATGAGGAAAGTACTTCTGGTAATATTACCAGGGATCAACCCATTATGATAGATGATGGCAAGCTTGTGAATTGTGGTCGACAAGATGGGAAAGTGCTTAATTTGGCAGAGGTTATTGAGGAGAGAAATGCACTTGACAGTACTGCCAGCATTCAGCCAAGTGGATTGGAAGCTAATGAGGCTGTGAATGGTGGTAATAGTGAGGCAAAGGTGCTTAATTTGGTGCAGGTGGTCGAGGGAGAAAGTACTACTGATGATGCTACAAGGGCTCAAGCTAGTGAGTTGGAAACTGGTGTGTCAGTGGTTGGTAGAAAAGATGAAAGTGAAGTGGTGGGAGTGACTGATGAACATAACACTTGTATTGATGTAAGCATAGATGAGCCAAATGTGTTGGAAACTAATGGGGTTATAGACATTGGGGTAAATGAGGTCATACAAGTATCTGATGCAGATAATAATGAGGGGCAGCCAACGATGTTGGAAGATCTTCTTGAGGTTACCAAGAAGCCGGTTGCTGTTATCTTAGGAAATTCTGAAAATGGAGTTTCAGACATTGTTGATTTGGATGAAAATGTGATTCATGAAGATCGCATTAATGGAGATTCCATGAGTCACCGAACACAGCCAGATGGTGATATAGGAGATGAAGCGAACGGAGATGTTATAGATCAACCTCAAGAAGATGTGAATGAAAAAGATATGTTGGTTACTGAAGGTAAAGATGATGACAGTATGACTCAGAAGGAGAAGATTGAAATTTCAAGAAATAATTTGCTTGATATGCAGAATGAACTGAAAGTTGAAGAAACTGAAGAAGGGGAACAGGAAACTATTGATCTGTCTTCAGGGCATCAGAATGATAGAAACCTGGAACAAGGAAGTACGTCAGCCATTGATAAGCATGATAATCGTGTAGAGAGCCTTAATTCAGAAGACAGCATGCATGTTTCCGTGGAGGAAAGGACAGTAACTCCTGAGGTGGAAAGGCGTCCTTTAGATGTAGTAGAGGATGAGCAAAATGAAGTTATCTTGATGAGAGCAGGGAATGTAGGTGTAAAGCTTTCTGAGCCCGTAGCTGGTCCTTCTGAAAAAAATGAGCCAAAAGATTGTGAGGTGAAACAAGATAAGCCAGTGAGCAAAGAACCAGGATTGAGGCCTGTTATAGGTGTCTCTTTATCTACAGAAAAAGCTGCCACTCTGACTGCCACTCCGACTCCTGTTCCAAAGCCAAAACATGATCCACCTAACCAATCCCCCATTCCCAATTCCAAACTTACCACCGTTCCCACTCCGGCTCCATCCCAACCCCCGACACGCCCTGCTGGTCTTGGCAGTGGGGCCCCACTACTGGAACCTGCTCATCGTGTGGTGCAATCTCAGGTAAACGGGAATGTTTCTCCTCTGCAAAATCAAGTCATTGATGAACCAACAAATGGGGAGGCTGAGGAAAATGATGACACTCGTGAAAAGCTCCAGATGATACGGGTTAAGTTTTTGCGCCTTGCCCGTAGACTTGGGCAGACTCCTCATAATGTTGTTGTGGCCCAAGTCTTGTATAGATTAGGATTGGCTGAACAACTGCGAGGTAGAAATGGAGGTCGTGTTGCTGCATTTAGCTTTGAGCGTGCTAGTGCCATGGCTGAGCAATTGGAGGCAGCCGGGCAAGAACCCCTTGAGTTTTCATGCACAATCATGGTTCTTGGGAAAACGGGAGTTGGGAAAAGTGCAACCATCAACTCAATATTTGATGAAGTTAAGTTTGGCACTGATGCTTTTCAACTGGGAACGAAAAAAGTTCAGGATGTTGTTGGAACTGTGCAGGGTATCAAAGTACGTGTTATTGACACACCAGGCCTTCTTCCTTCGTGGGCAGATCAAAGGAAGAACGAGAAAATCCTTCACTCTGTTAAACGGTTTATCCAAAAATCCCCTCCAGATATTGTTTTGTATCTTGATAGGTTGGACATGCAAAGTAGAGACTTTGGTGACATGCCTCTTCTGCGAACTATAACTGATATATTTGGCCAGTCTATATGGTTCAATGCAATTGTGGTCTTGACCCATGCTGCATCAGCACCTCCTGAAGGCCCAAATGGTACAGCCACTAGTTATGACATGTTTGTGACCCAACGGTCCCATGTGGTCCAGCAAGCCATCAGGCAGGCTGCTGGTGATATGAGGCTTATGAACCCTGTTTCATTAGTGGAGAACCACTCAGCATGTAGAACGAATCGGGCTGGGCAGAGAGTTTTGCCAAATGGCCAAGTGTGGAAGCCTCACTTGCTACTACTTTCGTTTGCTTCAAAGATCTTGGTTGAGGCCAATATGCTTCTAAAGTTGCAAGACTCTCCACCTGGAAAGCCTTTTGCAGCCAGAACTAGAGCACCACCTTTACCTTTCATTCTTTCGAATCTTCTACAATCAAGACCTCAGCTGAAGTTGCCTCAAGAGCAGTTTGGTGATGATGATGATGACACTTTAGATGATGATTTAGATGAGTCATCTGATGAAGAATCGTCGGAATATGATGAACTACCACCGTTCAAACGGTTGACTAGTTCCCAATTAACAAAGCTTAGTAGGGCACAGAAGAAGTCTTATTATGATGAATTGGAATATAGGGAGAAGCTCTTCATGAAGACACAGTTGAAGGAGGAGAAGAAGCGGAGGAAGATGATGAGAAAAATGGCAGAGGCAGCTAAGAACTTTCCAAGTGATCTGAATGATAATAATGTAGAAGAAGACAGTAATGGTGCTGCAACAGTGCCTGTTGCTGTCCAGGATATGAATTTACCTGTTTCGTTTGATGCAGATAATCCTGCCCATCGGTATCGAGCTCTTGATTCTGCCAACCAGTGGCTCATTAGGCCTGTACTCGATCCACACGGTTGGGATCACGATGTTGGTTATGAAGGAATTAATGTGGAACACTTGCTTGCACTCAAAGAAAAGATACCAGTATCATTTTCTGGTCAGATTACAAAAGATAAAAAGGATGCTAATCTGCAGATGGAGGTATCAAGTGCAATGAAACATGGCAAAGCCAAATCAACCACTGCAGCGTTTGATATGCAGACTATTGGAAAGGAGATCTCTTATACTCTACGTAGTGAAACTAGGTTCATCAATTACAGGAAAAACAAAGCATCGGCTGGTCTTTCAGCTACTTACATTGGTGATGCCTTAACTGGTGGAGTGAAGTTTGAGGACAAGTTGGTGATTAATAAACGAGGACAGTTGGTTGTGGCAGGAGGAGCCGTTATTGGTCGTGGTGATGTTGCTTACGGGGGTAGCTTGGAGGCTACTTTAAGAGATAAAGATTATCCTTTGGGTCGGTTTTTGTCAACCATAAGTCTCTCAGTTATGGATTGGCATGGGGATCTCGCACTTGGATGGAATGCACAGTCTCAGATCCCTATTGGACGCTTTACTAATCTGATTGGTCGCGTCAATTTAAATAATAAGGGTTCAGGACAAGTTAGTGTTCGCTTGAATAGCTCAGAACAGCTTCAAATTGCATTAGTTGCGTTAGTTCCCCTATTCAGTAAGCTACTTGGGTACTATCAGCCTCGGGATTCAGCATATTGATGACATATTTTTGGTCACTGTTATCTGGAGATTGAAGGAAGTTCTGTGGTGTATGCCACAGGAGTGCATGCAGTTGATGACGAACATGTGAGTATGACTTTCATACACTTGCTTTATTTTCACCAGCCAAACTACTTATTTTCTTCTGTGTGTATATGTTTTAATTATTCTGGTACTCCTATTAATGTTGTCTGCCATTGTTGGTTTTGAGCAACCTAAATCTGGTAACTGATTTCTTGACCTCAGTGTCCAATTTGAGCCCGTCTAATTACATCCCACCATAGTCTTCTTTAATTAAATTGAATATACACAAGAGATGCATGCACACTATGTAATGGTCTTTGCATGTTTGTGGATGCAAGTGAACCTTTTAATTAGACAAAATCTAAACTGTAGTCAACCGAAAGACTTCCTCAACCTGTAACACTAAGTAGTAAAGTTAATCACATATTTTATATATAAATACACATACATGCTGATGTGTGAAATTATGACATAAACATGATATCTGTCCATAGTCAGAGTCGGACACATTTTGCCTACGCTGTGATAGAAACATAATGATATGGCCCCTAATGTTGTCATTGCTTCGAAAAGTAGATGATGGCATAGATTGAAAATACTAAGTGCAACATCTCTTAACCATTTAAAATTTTGTGGGGCCTTTTGTTATGGGGAAATGAAGATGCGATTGCGAGCCCCATTTCTTATTGTGTAAAGAAATGAAGATGGGACTGAAAATGGATGAAAAATACATAAACAAATAAAAGAAGCTAAGGGTTCGAGTACCTGACTGTTGGTAGATGCTACTGAATTTTTGGATTTTTCGTGCCTAATGGAAGGCTAGAGAGAGTTGGCTGTTGCTGTATTTAGTCAGTCTTTCTTTTCCTACGACATGGAAGGAGATTGACATAAACAAATGCATCGAGTAGTGGAGAGGGTTTACAGTTACACATAAGCGTCTGCTTGCCCGGGATGGATCCAGTTCTTGTTGATATTGACTTTAAAGCTTCGTTGTTGATCTTATCCCATATGATGTAACAGGCAGCCCATCCAATAGATTTTCATATTAGGTTGTTATTCGTTCCCATTAAACTTACATATGCAAAACAATAGATATACATAAAAATGCGCAATTTAATAGCCACATCACACTTACTGATATATTATCGTGTCCCATTTATGTATGACATTCTCTTTCACTCTCCATTGTGTGTTCGATCTCTTTTTTCACATCAATTAACTGAGACCAACAATCAGATCTTCACACTCCATCTGAATAGGACTTGGAAAATGAAAATGTTAAATGACCAAAATGAATAAAACATCACTAGATGTTATTTGTAGTAACAATAGCAAGATTGAAATTGGCAAAATGTGTACATGTCATCTTGTATTCTCAAACTAAATATGTTTTTCTTTAATTGGAGCAAGTGCACACATGATGTGTATCAGATCGAGTATGCATCAAACCTGTTTCCAAAGTTGAAATCACTTGTATTAATCGGGTTTTCTGTTTTACTCGCATGACCAAGACTTTGCTTTCTTTGCTCATGGTACACACTATATATTGGTCAATATTCTGTGCCTTTGAACTATTGGATTAGCCAATACCCCCCTTTAGATGGTTTGTGTTAGTTGTTTTGAATGTTGAGAGGAAGGGTGATGGAAATTGTTACTTATATATGTTTGTAATAACATGATGCAGATTGGGTTGATATCTGAAATAATTGGCAAAAAGGAAGAGGCATTAGCAAGTGTAGTTGGTAAATGCACAGAGAGAGTGTAGCAGTAGAGGTAGATTTGATGCTTGATATAGAGACTTGTGGTCTGCTGGTTACTTAGAGAAGAATTTTAGCTATTATTGTATCATAAGAAGTATAATGAGCATGAGACTCGCTAAGTCCTTTCATTTGTTCTTTTCCCCCCCTTTTTCTAGTAGTATGCACAATTTGTTTTGGTTCAAGTTTTATGGTGGTGGTGAATTGATCAAGTTGTTTGCCATTTGGTTTCATATAATAATGTAGTCAATGATAGAGGTTTTGAAACATATCATATCTTAGTTATTTTTTAAAGTGGTTGACCGGTAGGCATGGCAACGGCATGGGATGGGGCGGGTTTTGTAATCCCCGGCACCGACCTCGGTTTTTAGTAACAGCCCCCGGCCCCCGGGGATTAACGTCCAAACCTCGGTCAAACCTCATGAAGAATATCCGTTAATTTGAGTCTATTAGGGATCCCGGGTCTTGGTTTGAGTCTACCGGGGATCTCTTATAGAAACAAGTGACCCGTAAATTTGAATTATGGTACATGACAAATTAATAAGTTCTCATACCATGTCACTATCCACATTAGATATGATAACTGGTTTAAAAGATGGGCGTAGATTTTTCAAAACTCAATTCGCTAATAAGAAATGATTTCAAAGTAAATGCTCAAATAAGAGGAAAATAAAAATACAATTCTATAATAAAAAATAGTCAAAAGTACATCGTCTTAAATATGATACCTACTATTGGATTTGAACCAATGACTTGCTGTATGACAACAATTCTTTAACCGCTGAGTTAAGTAGGTCATTTATCTTCTTAAAGAAAACGAAATGAGACTCATTCCATCGATAGACTGTAAATATGACATTACTTGGAATCAATACCGATTAGTTTCGATTCAATACCTATTCCAGCCTTCCCTTCTTCGTGGTCCACCCTTTCTACTCCAACCTGCCTTATTTTCGTTCCCCCTTTTTCTTCCTTGACCTAAACCCTTCTCTGTCAATCACCGTTGTTCTCCGCCTCATCACGATCACCACCGGACCAACCAACCACTAGTTTGTAATACACGGGTATTTAGTATTCTGCTACCAGTTCTTCGAAAATTTCTAGCAGAAAAATCAATGGATGAAGCTCCTTTACCATGCAACGACTTAAAATGCTGACATGATATAATAAACAATTATATATACATAAGCAATAAATAGAGGCACACTTACAACACCCAACGTTATAATACCACTACATTTTTATGAGCCTACACTTTTTTAGCTTACGACATAGAAACGACATAGAGGTGGGCGATCTGCGCCATCGTGTCTAATGAACTAGGTCCGGCCCTTGTCTTTGACATATAATATTAAATAAAAGTTTGACTCGAAACAAAAACAATAACATGACTCAATAATGAACAACCATGACGTAATATTCGACAATGGTATCACCAGAGGTAAGATTAAAATAATAAGATTTTGCGGTGGCAACACCCCTTGCCATCCTGAAAACTCCAGAACCACCAACAATCGGGATTTCACGGTAGGAATGAAACACCGCATTCCGCCCCAAAAGGCTCAGAGCACTACCGTTGTAATCCCCTGCGGTGAAGAACAAGTTGATGGTCATCAGAAGACCATCGGACTCCTCTAACGATGCTGAACCATAGATGCCTTGTGCTTGACCCACGATGGTAGAGTTGGGTTGAGGTCCAGTTGTGAGCCCAAAGGAGGTGATGGTGGATTGGGCGATTCTCATGGTGGTGCGGTTGGTGCCACTCACTGTATCGTGTAGATAGAAGTGAAGGTGGGTATGGATTGGGGTCATGTTGGGCAGCTTTTTGAACCATTCTTCTACGGCTAAAGGGTCTTGATCAATTTTGCAATGGACCAAACAACTGGCCAATAGGATCATTGAGATTATTAGCATTAGGGTTATGCATGGCTTCACCATATCTCTGTCTACTCCCCCTCTTTCTCTCGATCCCTTCTTGTGTATATATATAGTGTTCAATTGCAAGTTGAAAATATGAATGTGTAAGTACTCATATATATATATATATATATATATATATTGATTGTACAAATGTGATGATTTGTATTTGAAACAAACTCTCTCTCTATCTATATATATAAATATAAATTTGCGGATGCACAATATACCACACCACTTTATGTCATGGATCCATCATTGTATATATTTTGGGATGACGTGAGAACACCTACTTTTTTGTGAGATCCGTGAAGTCATTATAAAGACGTCCAACAAAATTTAAGGTTTAGTGTTCTAATTTGCGGTGATTGTTTGGTATGTTTTTGTTTGAGGTGATGGTTAACGGATATACAAGAAGGGTACTCATACAATAAAACATAATATATCTCTAATAATTTTGCTGTGTTAGTAATTAAGGATCTAACGCCTATGATTTGAGCATGTTTATTAATTGGTTATGAGTTAATTTTATAAAGCTCAAACATATGAATAAATTGTAACTGTTGCATAATATAATAAAACTATACTCGCATATGAACATATTGCAAAATCATATCGGGATAAAAATTAGAAAGATATCAACATGAGTATCAAATTAATGAGAATAAAATTCCTGTTTTTGATATAATTTGTTTGATTAAAAACTTAATTATATTTAAGATAATTTATATATTTAAAAAAAAATTGAGATAAATCTTTGTATTTTCAAAATTTAACCCTCTCATATGAACAATTATGAGTTTTCAAAAATTCTTTTAAATTATTTCATTCTTATTATTTATAAAATAATAAAATACCAATATTGTAAAATAAAATTATTTTATATCCTTATTAATTTGTACATAATGTTTTTAGTATTTATATTCTTAAAAATTATTTAAAAAAAAAGTAAAACATTAGATATAAATATAAAGAAAATATAAGGAAGGGTGGGGTATGGCATTCTTTTCATTAGTTAAGCTAAAAACATCACTTACCTCTCAAAGTAGATAAAAAATATGGAGTAAATTGAAATTTTTCTATCATTTTGGATATCCAATCCGCTATACGAGCCGATTAATCTCAGGACGACCACCTGGTTTGAGTAAACTATAATTTTCGTTCATGTGGTTTGAGATTTGAGAAAGATTGTGAGTTCCGTCCTTTTGGTTAAATTGTGATTTTTATCCTCATGGTTTGTAATTTATTTGATCCTTTCGTCACTGAGACTAAATATGTTAAAAAGCTTCAATTAACTTAGGAGTGTTTTAGTTTTGTTGATTTATTTTTCTTTTTGGGTTTATTAAATATGTTTTTTGTGTTTCTTTTTTTGGTATTTTAGTCATTTTTGGCACTCACTTGTTACTCGATGCCAACAACATTCCCGATAAAAGTCTAGTAAGAGAGTGAATTTTAGATAGAGAAGCTACATATTCTCTTAGAATCTCACTGTTAGAAACTATATATATATATATATATATTATATCCCTGGGAGGCTCTCGGTTCTTGAGCATGTTGAGGGATTAGACGGGAGTTGAAAAAGCTGCTCAAAGGCTTGATGCGTAATGTTTGGGAAGCCTGACAAGGGCTTAAAGTGCCTTTAGAGTTTTGGTTTGGAAGGGGTTATAGCAGGTCAGAGAGAGGTCTGGCCTGTAAGCTGGCCCCCTTAACGGTACATAGTGCCTTGGTATTTGATTTAATAAAACTATATATTTTTTGAAAAAAAAATATTAATTCAGTTATATTGTTTGTAATTGTTCATGATATATTAATTAAATATTTTTAATACCCGTTGAAGTATTAATGTCAAATTTGATATTTAACGTAAAATTAGATCGTTTTCCATAAATGTTTAATATTTTATTCCAGTCCAGTCCAAATCAACGGTTACAATTATATTAAATTTTCAACTGATTTTTTTAAGACAAGACACCATTGTCCAAACAATATCCCCAATATCAATTCATAAATTCATGGGCTTTAATTAAATTCTTCAAAGTCACGATCCAACATTATACTGTTAAAACACCAAGTATTTAATAACAATTTTGCTGTACGAATTAAATAAATAATCCTCAAACCATAAATTTACTTAATGAAGCTTCCAAAACTAATAGTATGTTTGGCTTAAAGTATTAAGCAGTAACTAATAGAATTACGAATAAATGAAAAATAGTTTGGTTTTATATAATATAATCATTATATTTCTATTAAAATCCAAATATTCATTCTAACTTAAATTAAAGAGATTAAGGGGCTGTTTGACACTTGCTGAATGGTTTTGTGCTGAATCATTAAGTGGTCAGAATGATTAACAGGCTCTCATGATATAGTGCAAATTAAAATATAATTGTTTGATAATTGTTTACAATGAAATTAGGGTTCTTAATGGTTAAGGGAGGCCTATGATACAAAATCATTCAGAGGGTTTTAAAACCATTAAAAGACATATTTTTTTTTTGCCAAACAAGATTCACCTCTTAATGATTTAGAGATTGCCTCTTAATGAAACTATTAAGAGGTAAACAAACAACCCCTTATTCAATTTTTGTCTGATCCAAACAGACCATAATTGATTCGGGGAATATTTTTCTTGGTCAAAACTGTGGGCTTAAAAAAGCCAAAAGCCCAATACTTGAATGGCCCAATCCAATTATCTTCTTGATGCAACAAACCTAATGCCATTGAAATTGATTTTTTGCTTTCGATTTAGGTTGAGTTCTTGATTGGTTTTCCTTTTGAGGACGTTTTCTGTGCATTTGTTCAATCGATTTTTACAAATGTAATTTTTAGGATATAAAATTTTATATGCTAAACTTTGAGGGATGTTTCGGATGTATCAACCAAAAAACAAAAAAGTCCTTCAAAATCAACTATAAAAATAGAAAAATCCATCGAAATCAATTAAAAAACTTAAAATTTCTCTTTGAAACGGTTGAATTCGGCTAAAAACACATTAGACTTGCTCTAAAGGTCGATTTCATTTGAATATGTGTATTTTATTTTCCAAATTGACACAATTAACTTTTCATAAAGACAAACCTCTTTGACTTTTCCACAAGATCAAACTGTGGCTTTTACAGACATTTAATCCACCTTAAAGATGCACTCACTCGACAAAAATCCTGAACTGCCGACTGACGTATTCATTGATCATTACATACATGTTTAAATAAAACCAACTTAACTTTATTTAAAAAAAAAAGTAGAATTGAAATAATTCATAGTAAAAAATGAAGTCCGATTATTTCCATTACAAAATGACCCAAATTGTTTTATTAATATCCAAACATCAATGAAAAATGGTGACATCACATTCAAGAATGGCATCCCCATTCGTAACATTAAAGAAAATGGCATTAAGCAAAATAAATCCTTTAGCCATCCTGAACTTCCCTCTGCCACCGACCACCGCCACCTCTTTCTCCACCACCAACGGGTCCCTTGAAAACACGCTTATGGAACTCCCGTTAAACTCACCGCTCGTAAACTCAAAATCACCGCTAAACAACAAGGTCAAGTCTGAGCCACGACTCGTTGACGTGTAGAGCCCACGAGCATTACCAATAACCTTCGAATTTAGGGTAGGTCCCTCCGTGAGCGGGTCATCAAACACGTAGACCGCCCCAAAAGGGAGTACGTTTCCTTCTTCAACCACCGTGCCGTTTGGCTTCGCTACAAGAACAGCGGATGGGTTGTCGCCGGAGAGCGTGTCGTGGAAGAAAAAGTGGAGATGCGTTTTGTTCATGGTGGTCGGAGCATCAATTATGTGGGTGTTGGAGTGATATTTTCCGTTCACCACCACCGAGGTGGCAGTGAAGAACACAAGGAAACACGCACAAATAATACTCGATTTCATGCTTGACATTTGTAGCTTATCAAGTGTCTGTGTAATTAATGCACCATCTATACACAATATATATATATATATAAGCTTCTATGTGATTAGAATGACTTGATCAATAATTTTAAAAAGTCAACAACATATATTAGTCAACGTAATTATATTAAAAACAACAATTACATTATCTAACTTTTATTATAATTAATCATATTAATTTAATTATCATCATGAAGGAATAATCAGTTAATTTTATGGACTCATATAAACAATTTATTTAATTTGTAGCATATATGTTATATAGGGGTGACAATGAGTCAAGTTGGATTGGGTTCGGGTTCAACCCATTTATTAAACATGTTGAAAATCCCAACCCAACCCAACCTGTTACCTAAATGGGTTGAGAGGGGGTTGACAGTTTACAATTTTTATAAAGCAACCTGTTAAATAAATGAGTTGAACCTGTGTTGACCCATTTAATTTTAAAATTTTAGATAAAAAAGGACTAGATTGTTTAATTTTTTTTGAATAAAATACAATAACAAATACAAACAAATTGTTCAAAGTTTGAATAAATAACAACCACAACAAATATATTGTTCAAAATATGTTGGATTGGACTTTGGAGGCGATAATGGAGTAATAAACTAAAGAGTTTTCTTAGGGTTTCATGATGATTAAGAGTAATGGAGGCGATTGAAATTTGAGGTTTCATCTCACGACGGTAGGATTTTTAATTTAGAATAAAACAAAATTAAAAATTAGAATATTAGATATACTATTAAGAATAAAATAAAATTATATAATATTTTAAATGAGTTGAAAACAGGTCGAAAAATTCAACCTAACCCAACCCATTTACTTAAATGGGTTAGGCGGATTAATCCATTTATTTAAATGGGTTGAAAATCTCAACCCAATCTATTAATTTTGGGTTAGGTTCGAATTGGATTAACGGGTTGGGCAAGAGCGGATGGCTTAAGGGGCATAGGGGGGCCATGGCCCCTGTGCCTTTGCATCTCCATGCTAGGATAGATTAAAAATTTAATTATATAATAATTGAAAATATGTCTAAAATCTTTATTTTCTTAATTTTGAAAAATCTATTGAAGATGTTCTTAATTCGGCCCCCCGGACTACAACAGTCGTGTTCCGCCCTTGGGATTGGGTCATTTTTTGCCACCCCTAATATTATGTATGAAATTTTTGTATATGATTATATTTCTAAATGGTTACTTTTAGTTATTAATTTCTAACAATATTAAATTTAATACAAAGTATTTGTCACAGTAATGTAAAATGATATATACTTTTTTATATATATTTATTTAACAAAAAAATATAAATTACAACACTAATTAATAACAATAAGCCTTTACAGCTTTTTCATAAACCTTAGGGACGATTTTGTAATTTACAATAAAAAAAAAATCATGAATTACATTTTTAGTCCCTCTGCTTTTATTAGAAATTACAGATTGGGTTCTTAAAGTGAAATAATTGTTGGAAACATTCCTCCTGTATGCATTTTTTTACGGACTTGATCTCTCATCCTAACTCCATTAAAAACCCGTTAACTCAGGAGCATTTTGGTCTTTTTATCTTTTTTTTTTCTCTCTATCATATGACACTGGAATTTTACCAACAAAATTGTTATGTGCCATTAGAGACGTTTATTTTTTTGGGGGGGGGGGGGGGTAGAAACAGAAGGTGGTGCGAGGGTTGGGCTTCATTAGAGAACTAGGAGGTGATTCATTGGAGAAGATGGGTGAGACGTTCACGTGTGTGTTGTGTGTATATAAATAATATAATACTTTTTAGGTTTTTTATAAAAAAAAAATAGCAAAATGTAAGAATAATCAAAATGCCCCTCACTTAACTGCCTTTTTTTTTACAAAGTTAGGATCAAGGACCATTTTGGCTATAAAATGCATACTATAAGGACCATTTGTATAATTATTCACTTAAAAGACCTCATACGTAACTTTCATTAAAGCATAGACACCCAAAATGTAATTCAATCTAAAACCAATGATATATAAAATCTCTGTTTTCAAAAGATATCATTGAAGAAGTAAGAGTGAATTACAGATTTCATCTGTCAATTATGGTGAAAAACATGGTTCTCACACATACATACATATATAGGGGTTGGTTCAAATGATAACCAAGATTATCGTGTTAACTTTGTTAAACAATCTTGACCGTTAATTTGAATAATAAACGGTTGTGGTTTAATGATATTTAAAAATTAATTATTAAATTAATATTTTCAATTAACATATGTGAACAAAATATCAAAGGGTATTTAGGTAAAAAGTAATCTATCTTTGATACACGAGTWGTMAGACATATGAAYAGCTTGTGTATATCTTCAAACCACATCAAACAAAAAAGATTAGACATATGAACAACATGTGAGCCGTATGAACATCTTTTGTATATTCAAGAGCCAACTCTGTTGTATGTATATGAACACCTATGAACCAAGGCATCTTGGGTTGTGTGTTTTCATACGTGTTCACATGTTTTCACATGTTCTGTGTATGTGTGTGTGTATTCATATGAACATCTAGTGACTTGAATATACATGAACACTTATGAATCACGACATCTAAGACTGTGTGATTTTTGATGTGCTCATATGTCAAAGATGAGAACTGTCGATTAAAATAAATGTGAATTATAGAACATGGACACGTGTGAAACCCCAATGTCAATATTGCATCATGATCAATTGTGATATTTTCATATTTGTAACTCCCAATTAATTATTTGGGAGTTACATAAAATGACAAATTACTTAAATACCCTTGTATTTAATATATGAGTTACATTTGAACCAAATGAAAAGATGGAATATKATTGGTTGAGYTTGGTTAACATAGTTAACACAAAAAAATTGGTTAGTATTTGAACCAAGCTACACACACACACACACACACACATATATATATATATATATATATAGACACACAAACAGAGCTAAACAATGGTAGAGGATATAGAACTCAGGAGCTCGGGGCACGATGATGAAGGTTCTACAATATGGTGCATGAGTTTAGGGGAGTGAGGTCTGCAACAACGGCCGAAGAGGAGAAAGTTAACGAGGGTTCAAGGGGATAGGGGTGCGGGATAACTCTCTAGTCGGCATGTCTTTCTAAATTTTACGTGAATGAAATGAACTTTCTCAAATGAACAAATTAGTCCAACCTCTATTTATAGAATCATCCATTTACAATAGAATGAGCCTTTCCACGTAAAGTTTAAGTGTGAATTTTGGATATTTGAGAAAAATAGTTCCTAAAATGAAATCAATTTTATGAAATGATTATTTATGTAAATTTTCCAAAGAGGGAGGGGGGGGGGGGGGAGAGAAGTGAAAGTCATAGTGGGAACATGTGACATTATATATTATTAGGAAGTGACACGTGGCATTATATGATATCAGAAAGAGACACGTGGCACCATTTGAGTGGTGTATTAAGAAAGTGTTTAAATTAATGACAAAAATGCTTTTTGAGTTAACGGAATAGACTTAAACAATGTAATTTACTCCCTACTCTACGTCAACTATGTTTTTTTGCCTTACGTGGTGGTACATTCCCACTACCTCTTATCCCATCCTCCACCTCCATTTTCTACGGTTTTTGGTGGAGATAAAGTCTTTTGCTTTATAGGGTTTTGATTTTATTTTAGACAGTTGTTGAATGGTTTGATACAAAACGATTAATTGATTAGAATGATTAAGAGACTCTCATGATATGTAAAATAAAATATAATTGTTCAGTAATTATTTACAATAGAATTAAGTGTTGAATGGTTAAGGGAGACCCATGATACAAAATCATTGAGGGGATGTTAGAACCATTAAGGGACACACTTTTTTTTTTGCCAAACAAGATTCACCTCTTAACGATTCAGATGATACCTCTTAATTGAACTAGAATAGGTAAAAAAAACAACTCCTTAGTTTTATATCACAATTTTTTTTATTAAATATGTACATGGGTTTTGTGACATCATATTTCAAGGATAATACGACCATACTACTTTCATGTAATCGATCCTTAGTTAATATATGAAAGGTAACGGGTTTAGTGGGAGAAACCATGAGAAAATGTGGGTTGGTTGAATTAGAAAATTCATTCATTGAAATTGAATAAGTAAACAATTAAAACACGATTTTCACAACATTTGGATCGAATCCAATACTTTATTCAAAGAATAATTTTAAATTAAAATTAAATAGATTATTAATCATTATCTATACTATATTATAAAACATTTGGATTAAAATCTTAAAAATCATTTTTAATGCATCAAATGTTGTTTACTGATATATGTTACTTAAAATTCAAGATTACAAGTAAATGTTGCATGATTACACATTTTTAATGCTATATGTTTGAATTCATATAACTAACTAATAAAAAATAATCAAATATAAGATAAACATCTCATTTTAAATATAAACAATCCAAAATATAATTAAGACAATCATTAAAGATTAAACTCTAACAAAAATACTTAATTATTAGCTTTATAAAAATTATATTATTAAACCTAAAATAAATTCATTCATTATTAAACCTAAATTGAATTATAATAAAAAGATTGAATTAAAATTATCATTTTGTTATTAAACCTAAAATAATTTATTTCGTTATTACACCTAAATTGAATTATACTAAAAAAAATGAACTAAAAGAATTATAAGAAGTAAGAACTTTTAAACTGTTAATTTACTAATATCGATATAAATTTTTATGATCTTCAAATTTAATTTTATTCAAATATAAAAACATGATTACTTTATTAAAGTCATATAAAACCGTATTATAAAATCGACATAGACAAATAATAACATAAAACATTAAAATTAAGATGTATCTCATTGCATTACACGATATATGACTTCTAATTTTAAACACGAGGCAAGAGTTGACATAGAAAAAGATGCACACCTACTAGAGTTGACATAGAAAAAGATGCACACCAACAAGAGTTGACTTGTTAATCAAATATTTTGTTCGAGAAGATATACTTTTGAGTTCAAATCTTTTAATCTTTTATTCATTTCTGTAACATCTCCGTCCTTGTGATTCGGAACAGATGATGTCATTAACGAAACTTAATTCAAAGACGCAAACATTACAAGGCTACTAATAAACTCCAAAAATATATTATAACAACTATTTATAAGTTTAAAATATTATACATCTACAAACAAGTTTACAAAACTTCCAAAAGTCAAACGCTCGACCGTAAGTCTCGTCCCTATCAGTATCACTTGAAACCTGCTGTGTCAGAAAACAAGAACACGAGGCTCAGTGAACAGATTATAATATAAATTTGAAATAATAACAAGTAACATCGATAATAATGCAGAAGACTTACAATTCAATTAAACCGAATTCATAGAAAATCAAGATGTTTCACAATTCTCATTTCAAACATAAAATAAACAAAATCCGTCAATTCCTATAATGTTCGTAGAGTGGCCAAACCACACGAACTATCGGCCTGGCATGCAGGCACACACCCCGAGTTCCTCGTGAATTTAACCATGGTCACATGGTGGGTAATCCTACGATCGCTCCATCCAGCCTGGAGTCAATAAAATTAGTCTAGTCCACAAGGTGGGTTCACGTAAGCCGCTATTGGGCCTAACCCTGTGGACCGAGTTCACTTGCAGGACGTCATAACTACAAAGCCGCCATAGAAAGAAAATTATGCACTGCTGCTGAGTCGTCGGACTTATCCACCAAGGGAATCGTGGAATTTCTGTGGATTGCGTTGGGGGAAATCTACCAAAGCTAGGCAAGAGAAATTTTTTTGTTTTTTAACCGGCGCCCCCTTTTGGGTATGCAGGTACTAAGAGTCCTCTCACTACCAACCATCAGCCATCATCTGGTTGGGTCTTGTCGGTATCAACAACGAGAAAAAAAAAACTACCAAATGGAAATAGCAACTAACTATGGCTCTTGGTAGGGGAGATCGGAGCAACATGTAACACCTACACGACATTTTTTTTCGTGGGCGGCAGTAAGTAGATTGAGAGATCGTTTCGCCCCTTGTCCCCGAATATGGGTAATATGTTCTTATACAATGTTGCTCCAATCTGATTTAGCTGGCGAGTGATCCCAGTTCGCAAACAAGACAACAAGCGAGCGTACCTTTGTTCGCTTCTTCTTCACCAAGCACGAAAGTTTAAGGATAACTGTAGGTCGGTGGCTACCTAAGGAAACTTCTATTCTACCTAAGTAGGGCCTTTTGAATTGAATCATAAGTAGTCTATCAATGGTGCAAAGCTAATTGCCCCTTTTCAGTAGGGGGCGAAAGGTTAGACCTTAGAAAGTCAGCGAATGACGGTTCTTCTATGTAGGTATGGCGTTCCTCCTTGACTCTCCTAACGTCGAGCTAAGTGATTTCGTAACCTTTTTGTAGCATAGTAGAATGAAGGCTACACACTGACGCTATCTTTTCTATTAGCCTAAGCGTCTTCGCTAATTCGCTCGTCTACTATACCCTACTATACGACTTCTAGGGTAGGCTAGGCTAACTCAGGCGCTTACTTCTAGTAGGGCTAAATAGCGTCTTTTCTTTTTAAAATAACCAATTTTAATTATTGCCAACTTACAGGTCCTTGGTAATGTTGACAAAGAAGAACATCCGGTTAAAAGACAACGGATTTTTTTTATTTATATATTGAAACCATCACTTCCACGCATATTAAATATGCATATCTCACGTTCTATTTTTAAACAATTTTTCATTCACATAATATTTTCGTAATAAAATTTTATACGAAATAGTAACCCTAACGAACCAGGTGATTATTGCATGTTAAAAATTATCTGTGCCACATGATTTTTTTTTAATTTTAGGGTAAAGAAAATCATAAAACTAATATAAATTGATTTAAAATTTATAAAATTATCTTATTATTTTAGTTTAAGTT